TCTAGCAAGGACACTATTGCGGTATTTTCCATTCTAGCGAGGACACTATTGCGATATTTACCATTCTAGCGAGGACACTATTGCGGTATTTACCATTCTAGCAAGGACACTATTGAGATATTTACCATTCTAGCGAGGACACTATTGCGGTATTTACCATTCTAGCAAGGACACTATTGCGGTATTTACCATTCTAGCGAGGACACTATTGCAGTATTTACCATTCTAGCGAGGACACTATTGCGGTATTTACCATTCTAGCAAGGACACTATTGCGATATTTACCATTCTAGCGAGGACACCATTGCGGTATTTACCAATCTAGCGAGGTCACTATTGCGATATTTACCATTCTAGCAAGGACACTATTGCGGTATTTACCATTCTAGCGAGGACACCATTGCGGTATTTACCATTCTAGCGAGGACACTATTGCGGTATTTACCATTCTAGCGAGGACACTATTGCGGTATTTACCATTCTAGCGAGGACACTATTGCGATATTTACCATTCTAGCGAGGACACTATTGCGATATTTACCATTCTAGCGAGGACACCATTGCGATATTTACCATTCTAGCAAGGACACTATTGCGGTATTTACCATTCTAGCGAGGACACTATTGCGGTATTTACCATTCTAGCGAGGACACTATTGCGATATTTACCATTCTAGCGAGGACACTATTGCGGTATTTACCATTCTAGCGAGGACACTATTGCGGTATTTACCAATCTAGCGAGGTCACTATTGCGATATTTACCATTCTAGCGAGGACACTATTGCGGTATTTACCATTCTAGCAAGGACACTATTGCGGTATTTACCAATCTAGCGAGGACACCATTGCGGTATTTACCAATCTAGCGAGGTCACTATTGCGATATTTACCATTCTAGCAAGGACACTATTGCGGTATTTACCATTCTAGCGAGGACACCAGTGCGGTATTTACCATTCTAGCGAGGACACTATTGCGGTATTTACCATTCTAGCGAGGACACTATTGCGGTATTTACCATTCTAGCAAGGACACTATTGCGATATTTACCATTCTAGCGAGGACACTATTGCGATATTTACCATTCTAGCGAGGACACCATTGCGATATTTACCATTCTAGCAAGGACACTATTGCGGTATTTACCATTCTAGCGAGGACACTATTGCGGTATTTACCATTCTAGCGAGGACACTATTGCGATATTTACCATTCTAGCGAGGACACTATTGCGGTATTTACCATTCTAGCGAGGACACTATTGCGGTATTTACCAATCTAGCGAGGTCACTATTGCGATATTTACCATTCTAGCGAGGACACTATTGCGGTATTTACCATTCTAGCAAGGACACTATTGCGGTATTTACCAATCTAGCGAGGACACTATTGCGATATTTACCATTTTAGCGAGGACACTATTGCGGTATTTACCAATCTAGCGAGGACACTATTGCGACTTTAAGCATTCTAGCGAGGACACTGTTGTAATATTTACCATTCTAGCGAGGACACTTTTGCAATATTTGCCATTCTAGCGAGGTCACTATAGCAATATTTACTATTCTAGCGAAGACACTATTATGATACTAGCCGTTCTAGCGAGGACAAATTTCGATGTATACCGTTCACTAGGGTTCGAATAACAAAATTTATAAAGACAATATGTGAATAGATGTTACTGACATGCAGCTGAACATAATCAGTTTGCTCCTCACAAAGCTTTTTAACAAATGGAACCCGCAAACATGACCATAATACTTTTTTCTATAAAGCATTCATGTTTCACTGCACTTGCACAATTATATCTAGTAACTATGTCTTGACCAATGCGGACTTTTAAGATTCCGCATTGATAATTCTACAAATCAAAATTTTATTTTATGTTGCATAAGAATGACTATGTATTTTTTCTAACATCATGATAAATAAGGTCATATATTTGTTTATAAAGTATTATATGTTGCTGACCTCCTTGAGCTACCTATCATACAAGTTGTTATATCACAGCATCATTAAACAAACACTGGAACAAATGTTTGAAAAACAACTGTCATCAACAGAATATATAAAGTAACAATCTACTGTCTCACACTTTATCTTAACGGTTATATGATAACATTTATAGCAGCATGATAATATAGTGTTAGATCTATAATACAATTTCACAAACAACTATGTACTGTTTTCGAGTGAAATAGTATGTATCATTATGCGTACTTTTTCAATTCTTTTATTGTATGTCATTTCTGTTTATAATTCTAGAAATGCATTTGCATGACTTTTTTACTCAAAATTTTGATCTCTATTTGAAATTAGTGTTTGAAATCATTTTTTGTCTAATGGGATTGCAGTATTTCAAATGAATCGTAACACATTTTAATTTGGTAAATCTGCAAACTGTCAATCAGTCCAGTAAATCGACTTTTTGAAACACGAAGCTTGTTAAAATTTATAAGTACCTATTTACAAAATTAAATTGGTCGCGCGGTTACGCCGCGCTTGACCAATTTAATTTTATAAATATTTAACCTATACCTGATGATGTCAATCGACTTGAAAATGCAATGCAGTCATCCAACTTATAATGTATGATTTAGTAGTTGTCCTCATGTTTATATATAATGTTTGTGATGATACAAGAATTCCTTTATCTGACGAAGGAAACATAAACAGTTCTTTAAATGTTCTTTAAATAATATGACGGATAGAATTTTTTTCTAATAAACCACTGAAAAATAAAGTTACCAAATTTCTTAAAAATATTCTTTCTGGGACAAACTTTGTTTATGTTTTTATTTGAATTGATTTTGATTTGGCTTATTGAAATAAAATTGTTCGTTAGGTTTACAAAGTGAAAATATGTGAAAATGAATTTCACATTGATCTTTAATTGAAAATTATTTATGTATGCCTGACATAAAATCAAGTGATTTCAATTGACCTTGTTTGCTTTGAATTATTATATGAAGTGTTTTGTTTGTCAATTTAAAATAAAAATATGGCTTGTTAACCTACCTGAAATTTTTAATATAAACATTTCTGTCCCTCCCTGAACGCAGAAATTTCCACACAATTATAAGCATATCAGTTTTCTAGAAGCAGTTTTAAATTTTTAAATATCAAAGTACTACGACTGAATATCGACAAACGAAAGAACATTCAGCCCGGTTACTTACCAGATAGTGACAAACGCCTTCTGTCTAACCTTATACTTGAGTTATGCCCACACATCAATGTATACAAATTGACAATCTCATGTATGTATTTACATTTATGTAGTTTAATAGTTTGAATATTTTAATCTATATTGTTCCCTGTTGAGGGCATCATCGAAGATTGATATGTTGTTCAATTGAGTTCTCTAGTTAAATAAAGTCTTCATTATTATTATTATTATTATTATTATACGTACGAATAATGTCCATACGACAGTATAAACCTTATAAAGTATAGTTTTAAATTCAAATTGAAGCTAATTAAAGATCGGTGATTGTTCTTTACGCTGTATGAACTGTATCATAATACTGTAAATAGTGTTCCAAATTGGAAAACTATTTGACAAAAAAGATATTAATTAGGTGTCATTTAATACCGACACACGAATTTACCTGACATTAGAGACAACACGACATAGTAATCAGCATTGTCTCTGATAACGTTTTAAAATAGCATCCATTATAAGAGCCAGGTAAATAATTAGAATGTCACACAAGATGCAATGCATATCATATATTACAAAATTACCATTTAAAGCAGCACCCCTCCAGATTCATCCTAATTTTCATAAAAATTAATTTTCATAAAAATTTTGAAAATGATTTTAGAAGAAAAATATTGTGAGGTAAAAAACAAAGTAATTTACACATTGCAAACAGCACTTAAAATCCATGGAAATTACCAAAAAGAGGTCAAAATATGCTGGACGCAGAAAAAAATATGGTGATAAATACTAAAAATATGGTGATAAATACTGCAAACGTCATTTATCGCGCAAACATATAAATTATTATTTGAATTTTGAATCTTTTACCTTTCTTACAATTTAAGTACATTTTCCCCAAGTTTGATTTTATTGAAATATTTTGACTCATCTGGAGGCATGCAGCTTGTTCCAAATTGTATTTGCGAAGGTGGCACCTTTAGGTTTCTGACGATTTCATATTATTTCTCAAAATATATATACGAGCCTAGCATTTAAACATATATATGGCATATTATAGGATGGCAAATGTTCAAGATCATGGGCAAAATTTGGACACCGCTATATATGCATCCATTGAGCGCATCCGAAAAATATATATTTGATTTCTACTGCGAACACATGATTCTTAACACATGCATGTGACATGACTTTTCCTGTCAAAGTCTTATATTTTTTCGAAATGTTTGATATTCAAGATAATATACATGCCATGCAGAGAACAACTTTCATTTGTTTGGGTGCGCATAAAGAACCGTGATGTCCTTAAATGCCGTTTCTTCCTGCTATCACGTGTTTTTTATGTGTCGAAATGATTTTTTTATTTTCTTTCAAGTATCACATGTATTAACACATTATTTACAATAATTCATCATGGCTCTTAAACCAACAGCAGGTATTGTGTTAGAACGGTATAATTGAAGCTTAAAACACGAAAGTAGTTTGATATATTATATTGATTTCAAGCTTTGTCACTGTAAATTTATGTGATGTTTAAAACAATGTTGCCAGTCATTGCATATGCCGTGCATTAGAGGTCATTGTGGTTTGATGTTTGTTATTGAATAACTGTTTCATTATTATTAATCTATTTGAGGGAAACAGCTTTTAGACAATAAAGACATGATAGAATTGTGAATAATTTGTTGCAATTTAAGGGTGCATTTGTTTACATCTAATGAATCTGTTTATCGTTTGGTATTAAATCCTCATAGAATTCATTTCAATTAAAATGAAAATCATTAAATCGTTAGCAGTTGCACATTCGGTTACTTCAAAGATGAAATTATAATTTATCGTCATTCCCCCTAACTTCGTGACTACCGGAAGTTCGTGACTTTTTTGTAAACGAATCCAGTGAAATCACGCGCGCACCTGCGAGATGTAAACAACTGTACGTAACTAGGTCATGTCGTCACAAATGTCATCGTGATATTTATATGCCAAAATGCGCTTTAAACAGGTAAAAACCAACCTTTATACACATACCAGTAGTAAAAATGTATTTTCTGTTATTCCCAAAAATGTCCTCTCTTAAAAAGTATTTTTTTCCATGAAAAATAACATTTCAAGTTGTAAAAAGTTATCCGTCTGCTGTATTTACATTTAGATTTGACAGCCTCGTTTTGAAAAAATGTTTACTCTAAGGCTAACTAAAAAAATATTGATCAATTGTACCCCATGTCTCTTATCAACAAGCAGAAAAATTAAGTGTTTTTTCTTGTTGTTGTAGGCAAAGCCTGTGCATTTGAAGGCCAAGTACAGATCATATTCACCCACAGCCTTGCAAAATGCATACAAGTCTGTTGTTGAAAGTGGAACACCTGTTCTCAGGGCTAGTAAATTATTTGGTGTGCCTCAACAAACTTTAAGAGACAGAGTGTTAGGAAAGATAGACCCTGAATGTATCACTACTGGAAGAGAACCTGTTTTGAATATGTTTGAAGAGGCCAAAATTGTACAGCATATTAAAACTATGGCTAATTATGGTTATGGTTACACCATGCAAGAGTGTGTAGACATTGCAACTGAGTATGCAGTTAGTGTTGGTAAAAGAACCAGAGACAATCCATTGACATTAAGGTGGATGGATGGATTTCGTAAACGTTGGCCGGAAGTGAAAGTTTCAAATCCCAGAAGTATTGAACATGTTAGAGCTAAAATGACAAGTGAAGCAACAGTCAATGCTTACTTCAGTAATTTACTTACTACTCTCACAAAGAATGATTTACTTGATAAACCACATAGAATATTTAATGTGGATGAGAAGGGAATTTCACTTAATCATAAGCCCCCTCACATTGTTTCATGTTCTACTGGTCCACCTGCTGTGACTACTGGAAAAAGTAAAACTATAACTATTTTAGGTTGTGGTAGTGCTGGTGGTATTGCTATTCCACCGTATTTTGTTTTTCCGGGTAAGCGTATGCTCCCAGAGTTACTAGAAGGTTCTTCTCCAGGTGCAAGTGGGACTGTAAGTGATTCAGGTTGGTCTAACAGTGCAATATTTAGGACTTACCTTGAGGAGCATTTTATTAAGTACTTACCTGGTGGTACTGCAGAGCCTGTTTTACTTCTCCTTGATGGCCACAAGTCTCATGTCTCTGTAGACTTGGTAGAATGGGCTAAGAGTCAAAATATTATAATATTTGTTCTTCCAGCCCACACCTCACATATCTTACAGCCCCTAGATGTAGCTGTTTTTGGTCCATTCCAGAAGATATATAACAATGAGTGTCATAAGTTCATGCGCATGAATTCTACCAATATCACAAGGTACAATGTCTGTCAACTGGCATGTAGGGCTTATACAAAATCACTTTCCAGTGAAAATCTTCAGTCAGCTTTCAAGAAGACTGGAATATGTCCATTTGACAAATTTGCTGTACCTCAGGAGAGTCTTGTTCCAGCAGTAGTATTTCAAGATATTGATATGGCTGAATGTACTGATACAGATAGTCAGGCTACTGTTGAAGGGGGTATTGTAGTGGATAAGGATGCATCTGGGGATTTTTTATTGGAAAGGGAGATGACTTTGAGGAAGGTGAAGAGTGAGAAACCAAAGCAAAAGGTTAGGAATACCATGAGTAGAATTGTCTCAGGGAAGGATCTATCAGCTAAGTCTGTTCTTGATTCTATGAAACAACATGAAATAAATCAGAAAGGTCATAAAAAATCAACTTCAAAAAAGGGTAGTAAATCATTCAAAATTAAAAAAAGTGTCATGCATGCTCAGATGGATAATGAACCTCAGCCTGGCCCTTCCCATATAACAGTAAATGCAAGTATATCTTCAGACTCTGACACAGAAACAATTATTGACAGTGAAGTCTGCTGTGTTTGTAGTAACTTTGAGCCTGTTGGTCTGGCTAAAAAGAAATCTGTAACATTTGTACAGTGGGCACAGTGTGATGGTATCAAAAACCATGTCCCATGTAAGCACTGGACTCATCTGGGATTCTGTACCAATAAAAAAAGTGTTGATAAAACAGAAAAATTCTTCTGTCCTCACTGCTCTTCTAGACATGAAGAGTAATTGACTGAAACACACAATAAAATAAATATAGTTAACAAGTTTTGACAGTTACTGTTATTTAGTTAAATTTATTAACTGTTGTAATTTTTTAACAAACTCACTGAAAAACACTGAATTAGTGTACTGTGGCCTATCAAGGGAGACTACTCTACATGTCACGAAGTTAGGGGGAAAATTTGAATTCAATATGGCGGATGATGACCTAGTTTAAAATGAAATTGAATATGTTTTGAAAAATGCTGCTTGTTAATAATTGGACTTTATGGAAGAAAATACATTATTTTAACAGGTTAGTGTACAAGTTTGATTATATATCTGTTATTTATTTATTTATTTATCATTATGCGCTTATGGTCACGAACTTCCGGTGGGCTAGGATAAATCCATCAGGAGTAATTTATTGCATCAAAATAGAATTTAACATATAAATAAAGATTACTCTCAAATCGTACTGGTAATAGAAAAGCACAATACTGTGCACTTTCCAAAATAATTTTAGAACGATTCATAAATTAAACATAAATTTATGACATTCAAAATATTTTTTCTGCTTTACAAATAACGCTTTAGGTTTTATAGATTTATTTTCGTTAAATACGTTGGCATAATAAACTGAATTTATAGAAAATGAGTAATTTAATTGTTAAAAAATAACTTTATTTGGTTCATTTTCTATTTCAGGAAATAGATGTTACGATTTTTGGAATGGCGAGTTATCACCTTGTCATTACTTTTAACGTTCAAATAGGACTACTTTTAGAGAATTACTGCGCATTCATGTTAACTTGTCAATCTTACCACCGGTTACTACTCGATCTGTACTCATCAGTAATCGCTGCTAATAGGAGAATGCTATAAGAGCTGTTTTTTTGTTCTCATCCTTTCCCAATGTGTAGAAAGTTTGTTTGTTGAATACTTGTATGTACATATATACATGTATTTATATTATTTCGAATAAGTATGTTAATACAATGTATTTGATAGACTGGCTATCGCGTTATATAAGTATTGGAAAGGCCTTATATATACGTTTAATTACACAAAACTTTCTTAAAAAATGATTTCTTAATTGTATTTTTTAATTATGACATGTATATACGAGAACGACTTGAAAATTAATGCGCCTGTCATTTGACAATCTTTACGCAGTGATTTCCCCTTAATTTTTCGGCGCTAGTGTACTTATAAAGGGAAGTATCCGCTTCGAGGAGTTTGGACTACTTTCGGTATTTGCAAATAAGCACATCAGGGTCTGAAATTTCGCTACCATTATTTGTTTGGTCTGACGACCCAAACAAATAAAAATAAACTGTTTAAAACACAACGCTAGTACTTTATATTACCCGCTACGTAACACGATCCTCTGTCAGCTTGCAGGATATAGTATTCTTACATAAAAGAATGCCGAAGGTTTTTACTAGATTCAAATCCACAACGTTGACGGGCATGTGCTTTAATGTGAACGAACTAAACCACTCGGTTACGGAGGCCCACTATACGTAACAAGAGGGCCATGATGGCACTGAGGTCGCTCACCTGTATAAAGGCACCCGGAGCGGGGCCAGTTTAAACCCCAGGGCTTTTATTTGAACAAACTTGGAAGACACCCATTAGAAGAAGTTTCACGATGTTAAGTTTTTACTACACACATATAACGAAAAACAACAATCTACCCCCCCTCCTCCCCCCCCCTTGGCAGGGCAAATTTTAACCCAAGGGCTTTTATTTGAACAAACTTGGTAGACACCCATAAGAAGATGTTTCATGCTAAACATCTAAGCTCTAGCTCATTGGGTTTTTTTAAAAGAAGATTTTTTATTATACACATATATTTAAAACCAATGACACCCCTGGGGCGGGGCCAATTTTGACCCAGGGCTTTTATTTGAACAAACTTTGTAGACAATTACTAGAAGATGTTTCATGCTTAATATCTAAACTCTAGCTATTTGGGTTTTTTCAAAGAAGATTTTTAAGTTTTTGCTATACAAATATAAGGAAAATCAATAACACCCGGGGCGGGGCCAATTTTGACTCCAGGGCTTTTATTTGAACAAACTTTGTAGACACTCACTAGAAGATGTTTCATGCTAAATATCTAAACTCCAGCTATTTGGGTTTTTTCAAAGAAGATTTTTTAAGTTTTTGCTATATACATATAAGGAAAATCAATGACCCCCGGGGCGGGGTCAATTTTGACCCCAGGGCTTTTATTTGAACAAACTTGGTAGACACCAATTAGAACATGTTTCATGCTAAATATCTTAGCTCTAGCTCTTTGGGTTCTTTAAAAGAAGATTTTTTAAGTTTTTACTATATGCATATAGGGAAAATATAAGACCTCCTGGGGCGGGGCCAATTTTGACCCCAGGGCTTTTATTTGAACAACCTTGGTAGACACTCATTAGAAGATGTTTCATGCCAAATATCTAAGCTCTAGCTCTTGGGTTTTTAAGAGAAGATATTTAAAGTTTTTTCTTTCGGTTGCCATGGCAACCAGAGTTCTGCATGGAATTAAATTCTTTGAACAATTTTTAAAGGTGACCACCAAAGGAACATTCCTGTGAAGTTTGGATGAAATTGGCTTAGTTGTTTATGAGGAGATGTCATTTAAAGTAAAAGTTTACGGACGGACGGACGGAAGGACGGACGGACGGAAGCCAGACGAAAAGCGATCACAAAAGCTCACCCCGTCACTTTGTGACAGGTGAGCTAAAAACAGGAAGCCAGCCTATCTGTCTTTGGGTTAATTGAGAGCTTCATTCCCTTGGTGTGAATCTAATTTACTTTAATAAACATTTACTAACGAAAACATTATAGTTCGATAGCAAACCAGCTCTATGACGGCAATTGCCAGAAGCTGGAAATCGTAAGATCAAAAACAGAAATCAAACAATTAGCAATGATGTGAAATTAATTGATTTTGGAAAGACGAAATCAGCAAATCGTTTACTATTTAAAGAAGGTGTGGAGTAGTTCGTTAATAAAGTGTTTCTTCTTTCATGATTGCATTGATTTGATAGTGGTTGATGTATCTGAAATCATAAAATTTTAGTGATATCAAATTATAAAAATATGGCAATATTGTAGCATAAAATGATGCCAATCATGTGAGTTAAATTTGCAATTATCAACGGCATTTAAACAGCTTGAAAATGTCAAATCGTACAGAAAATGATTGATATTTTATGTGCCAGTCTGAACAGGAGTGCGAGTTAAAAGTGCATTATTATTATAATATATACACGGTTTTCAATCATTTTGAATAAATAATATTAAAGACATTACAAGATTTATCTTAAAGTTAACACATTATTCAAATTCTGCTATATCGATTACAGCTGCTTTATTGTTGATTATGTTATTATTGTTTTGTTTTTATTTAGGTGAAATAAAATCTCAATTATCAGAAGTTCACTAATTTTAGTTATGAGCGTGATCGGCATGACTTATATTTTCCCAACACTTAATTTGACAAAATTCATTTTGTAAACAATACGGTTTAGATACATATTATAGTGTTAATTTGTTTTTGCACAAAGCACTTTCATTAATATCAAGTATCATACAATGACTGTTTGTTGTTGATCTAGTTTTTTCGTTATTAAAATATGCTCAGAATATGTTATATTTGAATCTCGTCAGGGACTTTATATTATTTCATATGTGAGGGAGCTATATCCATGAAGATGTAGACATGTTAAAACATGATCAGCGAAATGATACGTCTATAATATGAATTTCCTTTTCATAAAAAATATCTCCTGACGTTTTTTATTTCATTACAGAGATGTACATTTCAAGCGAGGAAACTATATAGTCAGCATTTAATTTGTCGTACATATAAATAAGTTATCCTTGCGAGAATCAAAACATACAATTTTGTGTATGTTTAGAACCTCGGAGGATTAATGCTTATTTTTCGAATAACTTTGTTTTTCTTTTGTGTCGGTTATCATAGCCGAAAGAAACTTCTTTCGCATTAACTGATGTAAGTCATTGATGCTAGCACTATTAAGTGTTTAGAATTGAGTACGCTAAAGTCGGTGCTAGGGGCGTGAGGGATGTTGCACTTATTGTATAAATAAATATTTACATAATTATTTATATTTTTAACTAAGGCCATTTAGTTATTTATTGTTTTTTTATGAAATATTAATTTTAACAGTTACATATTTCTCACTGTTTCGATTTTGGGATTGACATATAATTCCCAATTCATATGTTTAGCAAACATGACAAACAAATATCTTAATGACGTCATGAATAACCATGGCATAAAGTAAACTTTGATGACGTATGAGTGTTTTAATTAGAAAGAACTATTAAAATCTACGTAGCAAAACAATATTTTCAACATTTGTTAAGCATGATTTATATACTTTACCAAGCAAGTATGATGTTTCTTTACTTAGATCCAGTTTGTAACTATAATAATAACTGTATAATGCTTTACTGCTTCAGTCGTCAGGTATTCCAGAATCACAATCAAACAGGGCTGTTTTTAGAGGGGTTGGGGGGGAGTTATGTACAAAATCATTGAATTTTGTTTAAGAAATTAAAATGATAAAGATTCTATATTATGCTTCATTCTTTTAAATTCTTTAGAAAAATATTAAATATTTAAACGCTATTTAAAGTTGCACTTAAGGTGCAGTCATGTGTTACGAAGGTAGCAAAATAATATAAACAATGCAGTAATTTGACTTCTGACTTTTCAGTTCTAAATGCTTGTCAAAAGCCTATCACTACTTTCGTTAGCTTCCCTTTTTCTCGTACTGTCTTTCAGGTTTGCTTTTCTGGCATTTACTACTTGAAAACTATTAAATTTTCTTTAAATCTTTCCTCATGCTTACACGACATGGTTACACATTTGCAATGTATTTTGAGTGATGTTATTCAATTAAACCGATTGGAAGAAGGTTGTATAAATAAAAAGTTAAAAACGAATAGCACTTTGCACATTGTGAGTTACTTACCAGCGTCACTGGAGGTGATCTTTCGTGAGTTTAAGTCGAGATTGAGATATCCTAAGGCGGTATGTGAGTAAGATATAACACTCAAGTATTTCTGTATATGTTCATTTTACAATGAACAATGCTATCGTTTACACTATAAGTCGATGGGAATAAAAATAATATTCAAGCTTAAAGTATTACTTTTTGTAGATGACAATTAATTCGACCAAAACAAATCAACAATGTTTCATTTCTCCAAGGTTTGAGTACTGTTATTTGTAGATAAGAATGCAGTTCATAATGACAATATGTTCATAGATGTTGCTGACAGGCAGTTGAACATAATCTTTTTTCCTGATTACATAGGTTATAACAATGGAACCCAAAAACATGACCATGCTACTTTTTCGTATAAAATAT